ATATATTTTTAAAAGAGTTTACATTTCCTTATAAAAATATAGATACCCAGGCCACAACCCAGAGATGCTGACTCAATTGGGGTAAAATAGGGCTAAAGAAATCTGTATTTTCATCAAGTTCCCTGGGAACTTCTAAGTTTAAAGTTCTGCATGTTTTTACACGATGTTCCCTCTGCCTGAAAAGGGTTTCTCCACTTTTTTTTTTTTTTTTTTTTACCTTGAATATCACTACCGTTCCTTCCAATGTCATTCCCTCCAGGAGGCTGCCTTTAATACCCTGATCCAGTGTGAATTGTCTTTCTCCCTTATCTCCTCTCTCATCTCTGAACACTTTGAAGACAGAGACCCTCTTTTATCTTTGCTTCCAGCAAATACCTAGCACATAATGACTGCTAAATTAAATTTGTTGAATGAAAGAGTTGTCTTGCTGGGCTAGCCTGATCTCACTTCCTCTGGGTACTTGTTCCTCTTGCTATAGTTTCTCTTTCCCTTTTCCATTGTCCTCAGCTATGGATCAGTCATCTTCTAACATTTTATAAGATATTGTGGTCCTCTAAATTGTCTTCCTTTCCTCCCTCCTCCTGCCAATCTCCAACCTTCCTATTTATCCTCATAGTCCCAGCTTAAGTACTACCTTGTCTGAAACATTACTCAACCAGCTGAGTCAGAAATGACTTTTTATTTTTTAATATTTTATTGATTTTTTTACAGAGAGGAAGAGAGAGGGATAGAGAGTGAGAAACATCGATGAGAGAGAATCATTGATCAGCTGCCTCTTGCACACCCCCTACTGGGGATGTGCCCACAACCAAGGTAGATGCCTTTGACCAGAATCGAACCTGGGACCTTTCAGTCCACAAGGCCGACGCTCTATCCACTGAGCCAAACCGGTCTCGGCAGAAATGACTTTTTAAACACTCAGACATTTAATTTATTTGTTGTCATACACTACCTAACATTGTAGTTATTCCTCTACAATGTAAAGCACGGCCTTATGTACTAAAATTCATGTGTTAGAGACCTACAGCTCATTCTCAATATATGGGTTACAGTCAGCTTCCCTATCATTATGCTAAGACTTCAACATTGGGGACTTCACATTTACTTAATTGCATCAACATCACTGGCTTTTATAGCCATACCATATCTGCCACCAATTACAATTATCATAGGCTAGAGCTCATGATAACCTATAATTTCTCCACCTTCCTAGATACAAATTGAAATTTGCCTCTCACTGCATCCTCCTACTTTTCTGCCTCTCCCAGTCCCTCCCACCAAATCTGAGCATTGTATGTCTCATAACAATTTGGTCAACTCCTTTTTATTCTCCCAATTTATCACTCGTATTCCGTCTTTCCTAAAGAGCCCAGATGCCATGGTCAGCTATTTCAACAAGCCAATCTAGACTTCTTCATGATCTTTTCTCCTCTGTTCTTTCTTTACCAATCCTTTTGTCCCAGTTAACTTCGGCTGTCTGTTTTCTCCACTCTAAGCCAGCCAGGAGTTATTGACCAAAGTCACAAAGCCACACTGGTTGGGACTACCTACCACAAACTCATACTTATCTAATCTCAGTTAGATCATTCTTGCTGTTTTGAATTATTGCTATTTATTTTTTTAATGATTGATTTGAGAGAGAGTGGGGAAAGAGGGAGGGAGAGAGATTTTTGTCCCACTTACTTATGCATTCATTCATTGGTTGTGCCCTGACTGGGGATCAAATCCACAATCTTGACATATTGGGACAATACTCTAACCAACTGAGCTACCTGGCCTGTGTGAATTATTGCTATTTTCTTTTTTAAAAAATATATATTTTTATTGATTTGAGAGAGGAAGGGAGAGGGAGAGGGAGAAATAGAAACATCAGTGATGAGTGATTGATTGGCTACCTCCTACACACCCCCTACTGGAGATTGAGTCCAAAATCTGGGCATGTGCCATTAACCAGAATCGAACCTGGGACCTTTCAGTCTGCAGGCCTATGCTCTATCCATTGAGCAAAACTGGCTAGGGCTTACTGCTATTTTCTATAGAGCTGTTTCTACCCCTATTTCTCTTAGACCACCTACCCACCCAATCATCCTTTATATTCTCAAAAGATAGACTGGCAAGGTCATTTAATGTGACTTCCTTACGTGTTTAGCCACTTCAAAATCTCTGTGCATTTCTCCTCCAGCTCTTCCTTTTTAATTGCCAAAGCCAACCTGTCTGCCTCTCTCCCTCTTGATCTAAGGATCTCCTCTGAGACTTTAATTATTTCATTATCTTCTCTTTAAAGAGGATAATTATATTTTTAGTTTCTCTCTCAATTAGCCCCTCTCCTTTTCTGAAAACAAGGTTGAGTCTACCCTCCAAAAAATAAAATATTTTGCTGCTTCCTCTTCAATTCATTGCCCTAATTTACTTGCTGTTAAATATTGCTACCACTCCCCATTTTTAAACCACTAATTAGCTTTTGTCCCCTCCATTTTTTAACTTCTCTGTCACTTTTCTCCTGGTACTTATCCTTACCACTCTGATCATTTGTCTCTGTGACCCTGGCCAATTTCCGCTAAGTTTCTGTCTTGGAACTTATTTTTTCTATTTTGATGGTCCCATCTACTTACACAACTTTACTAATATTTATGTGAAAAGGTCCAAATTTTATTCATATTTAGTTTCTACTTTTCTCCCCAACTCCTAATTTACATTTTCTAGAATGCTAAAATTTTAGATATGGAGTTCTCAGAGGTCATGTATCCTAAGTCTTCATTGCCTAGGTCAGTGGTTGGCAAACTCATTAGTCAACAGAGCCAAATATTAACAGTACAATGATTGAAATTTCTTTTGAGAGCCAAATTTTTTAAAATTCAAACTTCTTATAACGTCACTTCTTCAAAATAGACTCACCCAGGCCGTGGTATTTTGTGAAAGAGCCACACCCAAGGGACCAAAGAGCCATATGTGGCTCGTGAGCCGTAGTTTGCCGACCACTGGCTTAGATATCTCTACCAAATGACTCACTGGCTTTTTAAAAAGGCAGTGTTTCTAAAACTGACCACCTCATTTTCTGTCCGCTTCCAATTCCATTCCCAAAATTATTCCTCTTCTTGAATTAATTATTTCTACAATAGTCACCCTGAGGCACACAGCCTCCTTATTCCCTGTATTCAATCAGCTACTAATCTAGTAGATTCCATTGCTACAGACTCTCTCAATTACATCCCCTGTTTCTATTCTAAACTACCACATTTCTAGTTTAAATACTACAACTACCTAGAGTATTGCAGTGGACTCCTGGACAGACCACCCCCCTCTAGTCTAGTATTTTCTACTTGGAATTCTGAATTATTTTTGTTCATTACTACCAAATTAATCTTTCTAAAAAGCAGTTCTGACGTGCCACTCTCTGGCCTAAAAACCTTAACCGTCTCTTATTGATTACTAAATTACTCACAAGTACGGGACTCAATTCTATCTTCCTAGCCTTTATGCTGGGCCCATCATCCATAACCATGGTTGGCAAACTGCGGCTCTTTGGCCCCTTGAGTGTGGCTCTTCCACAAAATACCACAGCCTGAGCAAGTCTATTTTGAAGAAGTGGTGTTAGAAGTTTTTAAGTTTAAAAAATTTGGCTCTCAAAAGAAATTTCACTGTTGATATTTAGCTCTGTTGACTAATGAGTTTGCCGATCACTGACCCAGAATATCCTTCCTTCATCTTTACCTGGCAAACTCCTAAGTTCTTTAAAATTATTTGAAATAAATACAGGTATCTGAAATAAATGCCACTTCCATCAGTCTTTTTTTTTCTCACCCTAAACTATGAGCCTTCCTTTGAACTCCTATCGCACATTTATTTCAATACTTAGCAAATTTTGCCTTGTATGATAATCTGTATATTCCAATGCTCCTCAGACTTTTTAGAAGTGCATCTAGTTAACAGAAAAATGAACTGATAGCCAAGACTACCTGTCACAAAAGCTGCCTGGAAAATTAAATTTTAATATGAATTTTAGAGTATTATTAGTATTAGACTAATGTTTGTTTCCAATATAAAAATGATGTAACTTAACATTCCAGGAAGATGGGTCTATTTAATTTTAGGGACTTGGGTCCACCTGGAATACTGGGAAAACCCTCCCCACATGCCCACTAACCGAAGGGGAGTGAATGCCTTACTATATATGAAACCCCTGTAACACCCATACAGTGCCATCTACCAACGCTCGAGAGATACTAAACTGTGACTCGAGATAGGTTAACGAGTGTTAATCGTATCTACTAACTGTTTACCATTAGGACAGTGCTCTGTTTCAAGGAGCTTAGTCCAAGTCCATAGGATGACCTTAAACAAGTAAAAAAAAACTACACATAAAAGTTAAATCACAAAGCCTAAAGTCATCTGTGTTCTGCAAAAGACACAGGTTGGGAACTCAGTCGCTCGGTTCCACACACCCAGGGACACAACGGGATCGTGTTGAGAACCACTTTAAAGTCCACGCTGACCTCCAGATTATCTTCTGGAGCTCGGCAACTTCCTGCCAACACTGCGCAGGCTTAACCCTCTCCACCTGAAAACAAAGGTTTACATCCTTTGGCCCTCCCGTTCTCAGTTCGGCAAAGGTTCCAAGGAGAGGGGCTGTGGAGCCGAACGAAGGCGGATCCCATTGAAGGAAGAAATATGCCAAACGCAGCAGGCCCGCCCCCTTGCGTCCCCCACGGGCTCCCAATTGGCTCCAGATTGGTGTTCCAGCTTGCCCGTCGCCTCCATAAACCCCACCTCTCGCCAGCGACTATTGGTAGATCGTTACGTCATTGCCCCATCTACCTCGCTCCTATTGGTTCCCATAGGCAGGGGCGGCAGCAACGTCACAGGCCAGGGCCGCCATTTTAACTGAGCAACCCTAGTGACAGGAGCCGGAGCAGCAGCGCAGGCTGTCCCCACTTCCCCTCCCCCTTCCCTTCTCCGTTTGACTTCCCGGGCCCCTTACACTCCACAGCCCCGGCCCCGCCATGTCTCAGAAACAAGAAGAGGAGAACCCTGCGGAGGAGACCGGCGAGGAGAAGCAGGTGAAATGGAGGGGGTGCGGGCGAGCGATCCGGGGGCGACCGTGACGGGGCGGGAGACGGTCTCCCACCGGTGCGGATTGGTTGCCCTGAGCTCAGGCTCTGCAGGGGTTGGCCATTTCTTGCGTCACGCCAAGAGAGCGTCAACGCGACTTGCTGCTTTGGCGCTGGTTGGTTGGGTCGGTTGTCAGTCAGTGCCTTACCCTTCCTCATTGGCCAGTAAGCCTACCGCTCAACTCATTCATGCTGTGCTGTAATTGGCCGAGCTTGGGCGTGGAGGCGGGTGTTTGGAAAGACTGGGTGAATGAAAGGGGGCTGGTGGTCCCTGGATGTGATGAGTGTTATTGGTTATTAGGGGAAAATAACACGACTACCAGGCTGGGGCCTGCATCCTAAATCCTTCGGAAGATACAGGTTGAGGTAAAGACGTTTAAGAAAAGGACCAGCTTTGGAGGAAGGGAGAAGAGTAATTCTTACCCTGGTTAGTTAAAGGCGGCAACTTTATCAAGATAACCTGTTTTGACGATTGGGGATGGTCTGTTGTCCATCTTCTGGGAGGATGGGACAAGACTGAAGAGGAATGAAGTCCCGTACAGAATAATAGAGGTTAAATTTAGAAAAGACAACCAAGAGAGTCGTGACAAGTAAGACGCCACTCTATCACCCTGTTTTCCCCATACTTCCAAGGCAGCGAGACTTCGTTCACCCGCAATTCTGTGATGAAAACACGCCAATTAGACCTCCTCTTGGGGGTTGTATTTGACTTACAGCATTTAGTGCTGGGTTTAGACGCTCATGAAATGCACCTGTTGTTATATCTGTGCCGGAATACCAAGGAGAGGTAATTTAATCCCACCAAGAAGAGCCAAGAGTGGCTTTAGGTTATTCTAAAAAGTTACTGAAGGAAAGGGCAGTGGGGCCCACACAAAGCGAGGAGCGTAGACCACGGGAGCCGCTGCAAGCCGTTTGCGCTCTTGTCATGCTCCCCAAACTGCCATCACCTGCCCCGCTAGGGTTGGTGTTTATTTTTTTTTTTTTGGCAAAAACTGGGTAAATACTAGTGAACCTACTGCATCGTAATTTCCCCCAGATTGAAAATAGGGTCATTTTCATCTCTGTTTACTTACCAACTCCCTGCCACATGTTTATGGAAATGCTGAAGCAATGTCCTCTCATTACTGAGGTGGAGATTTTTTGAGAAGGCTGCGTGGTAGCTCTGGCCTCCTCCACAGAGAGACTTCTCAGATGACTATCTTAGATTGTAAATAAGGAGGGAGCATTTCAGCAGCATTATCTATCCCTTTTGCTTTCCCATTTGACCAGTACTGTGTGTTAGGAGCAGCCAGGGTACTTTCCTACTCATCATGTGTCACCAAAAAGCCTTGGCTGGTTCTTTCCTCTCTTTGTATTCCCCAGCTTCTGTGCTGAGTGAGCTATGGCTTGCCCTGTGATTAACATATTGTGTTTAGGTATTACCCTTAACCCAGTACAGGTCACCGAGGTGGTTCCCTGGGTAGAGCACCTTGTCTCTTCTTCTCATAGTACAGTGTTCTTGAGCTTTAGGGATTTGAACAAAGGTCTGGCTTTATTTGAGAGTAGAGTGGAAATAGCATGTTTACAAGTAAGTGGATCTTCAGGAAAAAATAGTATAAAGGTTATCAAATATTAGTCTTTAATTTTATCTGCCTATTTGTTCCTTCCAGGACACGCAGGAGAAAGAAGGTATTCTCCCTGAGAGAGCTGAAGAGGCAAAGCTAAAGGCCAAATATCCAAGCCTCGGACAAAAGCCTGGAGGTTCCGACTTCCTCATGAAGAGACTCCAGAAAGGGGTAAGGGACACAATCTCTTCTTTGGAGCCAAAGGGGATGAGCTCTATAGAGGCGCTACTGAATGCTGAGCTGGAAGTTTTGTTATTTGTTGGGCAGCAGTGGAAAGGAGTTAGAAACTTATAATGAGCAAAACAGATTATTATAAATCTCTGATATGGTATCTTCTGGTTTATCTTCTGGTTCCCCATATAGGACAATAGGACTTTATGTAGGGGCATTTGGCTATGGGGGATTAGGGGGGTAAAGGAAGGATGTTAGAGACTGGAACACTGGTCGCACTAGGCATTTGCCTTTTTGGATAGTGGGAATTTTAAGACTGTTTTTTTTTTAGAATTAGAGCTATATGTTATAGGTGCGTCATTTCAGAAAAAGATCAAACCATCAGTCCTATTGACTTCCTGAACTTAAAATGAATAGTTTTATTCAGATCCTTAAAGTTAGCACTAGCCATTTACTCCTTTCTGTCCAGAGTGGTTCTCCTCATCAAGGGAGAATCTACCTTCACAGCCATCTAGCTCCATCCCAGAGGTACCTAAACCTACTGAGGGATTGGGAACCATTAAGCCGGAGTGTATTCCTCTGCAGGTGAAATGGAGAGTGAAATGGAGACCCAGGAAGGATCCCAGTTGTTGAGTCTTAGCCACAGATGATGATGTGATGCTGATTTGCAGTTTACCTCGCTGTAGGCGAGGCAGGCATGGGCAGGTTTCATAGCCATGGAACCTGTGGAGGCAGTGGGAGGCAGAGGAAAAGTACATTATCCTCATGAGCAAGCCCGGTTTCTATTCATGGTCTGAGAAAACACTTTGCAATTCTAAGATTGGCTGGAGGTTGGTCTGCTGTTTGCTAGGGTAGCCCTAGATTAATCCTTCTTTATATCTGTTTTCCCAACACCAAATCTGTTGGTGACTAATAGGTCCTCAGTAAGCCTTTAGGTATATATCAATCATTTTGTTGAACCATTTTGTGCTGATGAGGCTACAAATGATGTGGGTACAAAGGATGTAATGTGGCTATTTCTTAACTCAAAAATCTATACTCTAGCTGGGAAGCTTCTTACCTACATTTGGGGAGAAGACACAAGTACATGTAGGTATTACCTTTAACCCAGATGTGTGTGCATGAGATTAATCATGAGAGACTTGAAAGATCTGAGAGCGGATGAGGATTTGCAATGGATGTGGGTCTCCTTGTTTTTGCGGATGGCCAGGGCTCCCCGCTCACCTAAACCTTCCTCTTGTCTCCTAGCAAAAGTACTTTGACTCAGGAGACTACAACATGGCCAAAGCCAAGATGAAGAATAAGCAGCTGCCAAGTGCAGGACCAGACAAGAACCTGGTGACGGGCGACCACATCCCTACCCCGCAGGATCTGCCCCAGAGAAAGTCCTCGCTCGTCACCAGCAAGCTTGCGGGGTAACCTGGGCCCCTCTTTTCCCCTTCCTCACCCACTGGACTTTTATATGTCATAGGCAGGACTGGAATGGGCACCTAGCTAGAAAACTTCTCAGCTTGCTGGCCAGCAATGACTGATTCAGCTGGGGCTGCTGAGAAGGTAATGTGTGTGTGGAAGAGGGGCTCTGAGTTCATTTCTTTGGTTAAATTGGTATTTCCACACCCTCATTATAGCCCAGAAGTAGGAGACTAGGATTGAGTAATACTGCAAACTTTTTTCCTTCTGTACAAGAAACTGGAGAGACGTGATGTGTGTTTTTTTTTTTTTTCCGGAAGAGACTATCTCAAAATTGATTAGGCTAAGCCTTGGGAATAATGTGGCAGGTTTTAACATCCAAGGCTAACCTGACATTATTGGGAAAGGTAGATTGAATGAGATCGTTTTTCTGTGCTTCTAAGTGTTTCGTCTTAGGCTGCTATTGCTTCATGTTTTCATTATGGCAGGTTTAGAGAATCCTGAAAAAAGAAAAACTGATTTGCTTGCCTAAAACTACAATGCCCACTTAACCTCCCTTAGTGTCTCTTACAATTTGCCCTGGCTCTTAATGTAAAGATTGGAAAACAGTGTATAAAATGGGCACTCTCTAGCTCGCTCGCTCTCTCTCTTTCTCTCCTTCTTTCTCTTTCTCCCAGCATGTTGCTTTTAAAAGCATTGTGGGATAGCGGAAGGAGCACTGGTTTAGGAGTCAAGATATTTGGGTTTGGGTCTAGTTCCATGTAGAAGTGATATGTAACCTTGGTCAAGTCGTTTAGCCTCTCAGAATTTATTTTGTCATCTGTAAAATAGAGTTGAATATGGATAAAATTGATTCTGATTTTAGAATTCTATAACTGGCCGTTGAAAAACTCTGCTATTGTTTGTAAAGCTAATGAGGCAGGCCCATCAGTTATCTGCCTACACAGGGGAACCATTTGAAGACTACCTGGGGAGAGAGGAAGTAGAGATTGGGGCAGCGGGAGGGAGGAATGAATTCAGGCAAGAGGGCCTCAGAAATATCATGGTGATAGGGTCAAGAAAACAATTCTAGGAAGCTAGCCATGGAAGCTTCTGCCTCTGCTCAACCCACTTTCATAGCTTGCAGTCTGCAACCCTGCTGCTAAAAAAGCCTGCTCTGGCAGCCTAGCTGTGGGCCTGCGGAAACACGCTCAGTCTTGCACATATGGAGCCCACATTTCTGATGTAATCGGGTGCCAGGTGTATTGTGTAGGGAGACAAGAAGGAAAGAGATGCACTAAGCTCGGCTCTAGGGCTCAGTACCACAGCACGGCTGGAGTAGCAGGTTCTTCGGAGATAATTCAAGTCGGAGAATGCTGGGGAAGGTGGTTAAGGCGAGAAAAGGAACCCAGAAATCTCTGCCTTCCTAGAGCTCAGTAACCTGGCACCGTGTGATGAGAAGAAGCAGTGCTGATTCATGAATGTGTGGAGGAAAGGGTTTGCAGTTGGCCAGCCTCTTCAGTCTAGTTATCGCCAGGTTGGCCTGAATCTTACTGAATGCAACCTGCTAGTTATGAAAGAGAGGGTCAGGGTGAGAGCTAACTGTTCAAGAGAGCAAGATTTTGTAATCCTCTCTTGCCCTCTCACAAACTCTGAGAGGCCAAAATTTGGCCCGATGAGAACGTCTGATGAACTTGATGGGATGCATGTGTGGGGGATGGGATGCTATATACTTCTCTCCTGACCAGCCATTCACTTTTCAGGCTTGTCATTCAGATTGGGTAGGAAAGAGTTGGTGAGGAAGGAGTGGAGAGAGCAGGATCCCTGAATTCCTTGGCCCCAGACTCCTCGACTGTCACTTGTAATTGTATATAATTTTTGTGTTTCTTGCTCCATTTCCTCATGCTGTCTTCCTTAGTCTAAAATCCATGTGGGAAGGGGAAAATGCCGAACATCCTTGTATAGTTTCCTCAACTGTCCCAGCCATGTTGTACATAGATATGTCATGTTATTATATATATAAATATATATATAATTTTGTACGTTTTCTTCATCTCCGATTTTCTCAATTGTGTACTTTTTTTGTTTCTGTCTGAGCCACTTTCTCTATGGGTCAATTTGAATCCTCAAAACTGAGGTCACAATGCGTCTGGCATTAGGAAGGAATAGAGAAATCAGAAAACTATTGGTCTCTCTCTTCATCTGGTCATATTCGAGTTTAAGAAAAGACTCAAGCTACATTCTGTGTTTGCCACACGTTGCCACAGCATGAAGTACCTAAGTCTATGGCAAAGAAAAATCCAAATCCAGTTGCTTTGATTAAACCTAGGTAATTAATTCCACTCCAAACAAGCTGTGTGTTGTCTGGCCCTGGCCTCCACCCAGTCACCACCTCATCACTGTGTGCCCGCAGTCAGTCCCTGCTGCTCTCAGTGACTGTGCTTTGCGTATGAAACTGAGCTGCTCCAAGCCATGGGGCAGCTACATCCCTATGAGCTTCCAGTCGTTTTGATCTTGTCTTAACGAATTGCTTTTCTGTCTCTGTTTTTATGGGTATCTTAAAAAAAAAAGGCAGAGAACGTTTTATTTTGTGGATAAGACTCAAATTCATTCATTATCTATCTATCTCTACCTCTCTCCCTCTCAGTAATTTTCTATGGATAGGATTGAGGCATAAGCTAGGAAGCCTAGTGATTGTTAAGTATGGAGGAGTCATGGAATAGAGGCTGGGATGGAATTCAGGTATTTTTCCCTTATTACTTGACAGTGTTTTCTTTTTCTTCTTCTATGTTCATCCGCAGTGGCCAAGTTGAGTGATGCTGCCCGGGGCTCCGCCAGATCCTGAGACGCTGCCCCCCCCCCGGGTCCTGCGCTGGCTCCTGCCCCTCCCTGCATTTGCAGAGGGCTCAGGAGGTGGCTCGGGCACGGGCTGGCGAGGCAGAAGCCCCTGCCTGTCGGTGTCCCAGCGCATGGAGCCCCTTGGGCCAAGCACCAAGACCTTGAACCTTTTTGTTTTCCCTTTCTCCCAAATAACTATTGGGAGAAATCTCAGAGAAATCCTAGGGAGTGGGGTGGGGCCGGGGAGATGTTTGAGAGGGTGGGTGGGAGATTTAGGGGACTATGAATTAGGGCTCGGAGTTGATAACATTCCTGACTATCCTACTTAACCGTGTGGCTGGTGTGAGGGGAAGGAAATGGAGTCAACGAAAGATGTGGGGTTCCAATTTAACTTTGTAGAAAAATGCAATGTTTGCTTAGACATGGCTGGAGACCATGGTGTCAGACAGCTCCTCTGGTTCTGCAGAGCAAGCTGGGAATGCAATTAATGTTAATTATGTTAATTGTTCATTTTTTAAAAATGTCCTTGAAACAGATTTACTGTGGGGAGAAGGGCCATGAGCATGGGGAGCCCCACAGAGCCCAGGGGACTTTTTCAGTATTTGAAATTAAAAAAAAAAAAAAAAAAAAACCCACACAAAAAAAAAAACAACCAAAAAAAAACCCAACGCATAAATACTCTGAAGCAGTTGTTTTATTGGGTTGGGAAAGGGAAGGAAAGAAAGATACCATTCAGGGGAGTAGCTGGTGTGTGGCCCTACGTTTTTTTAAAGATTCTCTTAATATAGGATGTGCTTAGACTCTACACTTCCATCACTTAGGGAGAGGGAACGAGGATGTTGGCATACAGACCAGGGTTTTTCCTGACCCCTGCCCATCCCTTTGTTCCTGTACCTAATACAGATGCATCAACCTCAGGCTTGGGCTCACAAAATGAGGGATTTGAGAGCGTTTGATCTGAACGATTTATTGACACTAAAGCTTAGTCCAGACGAAGCAAAAAAGGAAGCCTGCTCTTCCTTTTCAGTCATGTATTCCTTCACAAGTTCTGCTGGTGAAGGAGAAATGGGACCTCTAGTAATAAGCCAAAAGGAACTTGAGCCTCTCTGCTTATGGCCAGCAGGAGGCTCAGTGACTTCTTTCCTCCTGTTACCAAAACAATCTCAAGTCCTGCCTCTGGCAGACGGTAAGACCTGTGAGTGTAACATACAAAGGAAACACGTTACCAAAGTAGAAGCAGACTCCATCCTGGCCCTCCTGGCCCCGCCAACATTCACATGTGTTAAATGAAACACCCATTTTGCCCAGGTTTGATTAGGAGAGTTTATCATGGTGTTTTCCCAAATGTGAATGGCTTTTCAAATAAGTGTGCAGCAAGGAAGATAAACAGGGCCCAGGAGACAGATATTTTAGAGAAATCTCCATCTTATTGAGGGAAGGGGGTAACTTCTAAACTGGAGAAGAAATGTTGTTCTTGGTGTCTAACTCATTCTCCTTAATGAGCATCTTTCTAAGTAAGTTTTCAGTTGAGGTATTCCTGGCTTGCTCGCTCTAAATTTAGCCAGGGGACTGTGATGCATCCTAACCACTGGCTTTTCTGAACAGCATGCTAGACAGAGTGAGTCAGGTCGTATGGCGCTAGGTTAAAGAAAGGCATGCCCTGGCCAGGTGGCTCAGTTGGTTGGAGTGTCATAGCATACACCAAAAGGTTGAGGATTTGATTCCCAGTCAGGGTACATACCTAGGTTGCAAGTTTGATTCTCTGTTGGAGCATGTACAAGAGGCAACCAATCGATGTTTCTCACATCAATGCTTCTCTCTTTCTCTAAAATCAATAAAACATATCTCAGGGGAGAATTTCTTTCTTCTTTTTCTTTCTTTCTTTCTTTTTTTTTTTTTTTTTAAGTATTCCCTAGCCTGGCCGGCATGGCTCAGTGGTTGAACATCTACCTATGGACCAGAAGGTCACGGTTCGGTTCCCAGTCAGGGCATATGCCTGGGTTGTGGACTCGATCCCCAGTGGGGGGCATGCAGGAGACAGCTGATCCGTGATTCTCTCTCGTCGATGTTTCTATCTCTCCCTCTCCCATTCTCTCTGATAACAATAAAAAAAATATATTTTTTAAAAAAGCATTCCCTACCATTGTGGGGATCATTGTCTATCTGGAAGAAAATGTATGAAAAAGTTCATATGCTTCAAAAGCTAGGATATATTCACTGTATACACAGGGTAGAGCAAAAGTAGGTGTACAGTTCATATGGGAAATAAAACAGTAAGATAAGAATACAGCTGTTTTAAGTATTCACAACTATAAACCTACTTTTGCCTCACCCTGTACGTCCTAAACCAATCCTCTACTTTTTGAGCATATTCCTGGTTTGTGTAGATACAGCTGGGCAGTGAGGTCAGGGAGGCTGAGTGGGATCATTCAGTTAGTGCGATTTCACGTTAGTACAGGTAAGGAAATGGAGGTGTGGCAATAAGTTACTTATAAGGTGGCAAAGCTAGTTTACGAAAGAGCTTGAGAGTTAGTATCTAGGCTTCTATGTGATTTTTCCATTATTCCTGGCTTCCCTGGTCCTTTGTTTTTGGAATCCTGGGGTGGCAAGAAATGTTTGTGGCTATCTCTATTTCAGTTTAAAACTTGCCATTTCTTGTTTTTTCACTCCCTTACTGCAGGCAGCCAAGGCAGACTGATTCTGCAGTGCTTCAAGTAGCTGTTCCTGACAGTGTTTTGGTTAGGTATTTTCTAAAATTTTCATTGCAGCCGGGACTGGTTTGGCTCAGTGGATAGAGCGTCAGCCTGCGGACTGAAAGGTCCCGGGTTCGATTCCAGTCAAGGGCATGTATCTTGGTTGCGGGCACATCCCCAGTGGGGGTGTGCAAGAGGCAGCTGATCAATGATTCTCTCATCGATGTTTCTAACTCTCTGTCCCTCTCAATTCCTCTCTGTGTAAAATCAATAAAATATATATTTTTTTAAAAAATAAAATAAAAGCTCAAGTCCTAACAAGGAAGATGGGCACCCAAATACAATCCTACATAATAAATAAATAAATAAATAAATTAAATTAAATTAAATTAAATCTTCATTGCAAATTGTGGATCAAGGATTCTTCTCCAACTTGATTGAGTGATGGTTGTGCTGACAAGCATCTTGGCCATCCGAAATGCAGGGTGATATTATTGTTTGGTGGCATTTATTTTAAGCTGCTGTGGCCTGAGCATTGACAATACAGGCAAAAGGAAAAGTCTAGTTGCATTGAGGGTATCTACAGTGAGCCAGCGGCACCCACACAAACAGCCCCTGTGTGTCTAGTGCCCTCTGCTGGGTCTTGAGGGAAGTTAGCAAGGAAAGGGAAGATTTCTTCCTTGGGAAGCTGAGACATGACAGTGGCATACAAATAAAAGCAAATTAATGTAGTTTCAAGCAGAATTTCAAGAACAAAGAGAGCCCTAACTGGTTTGGCAGATGACTAATAAAAGATAAGGAGAGGTGTGCTTTCCCTCAGGGGCATACCTGCCTTTCTTCACTCTCAGGCTTTACTTTTCTCACCTGAACACTAAGGGTCCCAATCAGGGAAGCAATTGGCAGCGCCAGTTCCTCCGAAGCTGAAACCCTGAACTTGTCTCCAAGGCCCCCTTTTCTCTGACTTTTCATGAAGCCAACAGCAGCCCCACCTAGGCTCTCCTGTTGCTTCTTCAATGCTAAGCTCTTGTTTCTCTGTCCCCAGCTTTAATGTACTCTCAAAATAAAATAAAAAATAAAAGATAAGGGGAGGCCTCCCATGCTTGGACAGAAATATTTTAATTCAAAAATAATTGTTGCCCTGGCCAGTTTGGTGCAGTTTGTTGAGTGTCATCTTGTGAACCAAAAGGTTCCATTCCCAGACAGGTCATATGCCCAGGTTGTGGTTCAGTCTCTGGTTGGGGTATGTACGGGAGGCAACCTATTGATGTTTCTCTCTCACACATTGATATTTCTCTCTCCCTCTCCCTTTCTCTCTAAAAATCAATTTAAAAAAAAACACCCAAAGGTAATTGTTGAACACTCACTGGCCATTGGAGATATTACCGTAGCTGTTATTGGGCAGGTGAACAATGTAAGAAATGGTATATGCCCTGGAGGAAATTGAGGCCTCATAGAGACAACGCCTCTAAATATAACACAAGATAGCATTTGATTATTCAAAGAGTGATAAAATATTTCTGAGAAGGTACAATCCAGAAGGCTGGTATCATTCGGTAAATATTAGTGGAGGAAATGGAAATTGAACTGGGCCTTGAAAGATGGGCAATACCCAAATAGTCTAGTTCAATTGTCATTGAATAAGTTCCCATAATATGCCAGGCACTGTGCTAACATAAGATGTGTGATACCTGGGTGCTTCTTTCAAGGTGGAGAAACTGTACACGAAGAAATCAGACTGCAGTGTTAAACTTGCAGCAGTAGAGGCCTACCTATATAGACAATTGCTAAATGTTTTGAGAGCTTACCAAGTGTCTAGCCCCATGCTATGGGTTTAATTTACATCATCTCATTTAACCCTCAAGGATTCTATAAAGTAGGTAGTGTTACTGTTGCTATTATACAAATGGCACAACTAAAACAGTAACTTGCCCAAGTCACACAGCTTCTGAGAGTGAAGACAGGATTCTCTGCATTGCCCGCAGGAGGGGAGGGAAAACAGTGGTCAGGAAAGGTTTCATGATGTAAGCTCTGAAGGATGAACAGGGTTTCTCCAGAAAGGTAAGTGAAAATGGACATTTGGTAGAGGAACCAATACTTAGAGAAGAATGAGACGGTGTGGAATCTGGTGTTTCAGCAGGACCAGGATCGAGTGAGTCCTGGGGAGTAGCTGAAGGCCAGGTCAGGAAGGCAGACAGGAGAGCTGGTCCAGTCTGTGTTGTAGATAAGTTGCATTGTCCCATGCACCATTAAGTCATTGGTTTGATTCCCAGCCTGGGCACATCCCTG